CAGCGTCTCTTCTACAGGGGGCATCTTCTCATAGCCGCTTTCGCGCATCCCCTCGATGTTGGCATAACTCGTATGCTGGAACCGATGGATGCGTGAGGAAAACGGCCTCCTCCATTCCTTCTTGATCTCTGTATGGAGATCAGGAAGAAAGGGAAGGCTCACCTGAGCTGGAGGGCTATTGTCAGAAAGATAACGCCATAATGAAGGAAGAAAGATCGCTCTTACCACGGAATGCACGCTTCAAACAAAACAGTCAATAAAGACGAAGAAGAGAATGACATGTTCCCTTGAAAGGGAACTTTAAAGCGCAGCTTTGAGCCAAGAATTTTTTTACTCTCAAGTCAATTCTTAGCAGTGTTCTTGTGAGTAATTCTCAGAGGCTTGATAAATACGGCCCTGGAAGCTTTAAGTGAGAAATGGGCCAAGATTGCAGTAGAGAGCTGACAGAAGCTTCTAAACACTTACAGGCATCATTTATTGAAGGTTATAAAGATTTTGCAGCAAATTTGACTTTTGTACATGAATGTTTCGAGCCAGTTTGATATTTTTTTATTATTCATCATCTTTACGTCCTCAGAATCTCTCAAATGGATATTAATAAACATTTTCTAATAGTTTACTGATACCTTTTTGTTGAATTGCTTTCATAAAATTTGTTCTTGGTAGCATAATGTCTTGCAAGTCAATGAATAATTTCAATTGCAGCTGTAGTTGAAAAGCGTCCTAAAGAAAGCAAAGAGTTAACAATATTGACAAGGTTCTGAGATTACAGGTTACACCTCTATCAGTAGTTTAGTAGGTATAGAATCTATCATACATGTGTTTGGTTTTTATGCTCTTCATGTCTAAATTAGGGCTGTTAAAATTAATTAATTGTTTTATTTATTTATTTTTTTTCCAGTTTGTGTAAAAAATATTTAACACATAATTTTCCCCGGCATCCTTTGGCTGGTGTTACAGTAAACTATATGTACACACTATGAATGTTCATTAACAAAGATGACAATAAACCACATTTTTAAATGCACATTAAATACACACAAAAACCATATTTTAAATTATATATACACAATCGTTATTTTACATTAATTTGGAGATTCAATGTGAAATTATTTTCACATTATTATTTTATTGATTGACTGCACTAGTCTAAATGTTTTGATGTTTGTTGCTTTATGCCATTAAACTGGTGTTAACTTGTATTTTTTTTTATTTCACCTCAGACCTGATGGCGCTGAAAGAGGAGAGTCGAGAACTGCATGAAACGAAAGACAAAGATCAAAATGAGAAACATCGTGATTTCAAAACTGAAGACGTATCAATTAGATACTCACAGACTGAAAAGACTTCCTCACCAAAAAAAGCTGAAAAAACACAAAACCTTAATTCTCAAATGAGAATTCATACTGGAGAGAGCTCTTTCACCTGCCAACAGTGTGGGAAGAGTTTCTCACGGAAAAGGACCCTTGATGTCCACATGATCATTCACACTGGAGAGAAACCTTTCACCTGCCAACAGTGTGGGAAGTGTTTCTCACGGAAAAGGACCCTTGATGTCCACATGATCATTCACACTGGAGAGAAACCTTTCACCTGCCAACAGTGTGGGAAGTGTTTCTCACGGAAAAGGACCCTTGATGTCCACATGATCATTCACACTGGAGAGAAACCTTTCACCTGCAAACTGTGTGGGAAGAGTTTCACGTATAAAGTAAACCTTAAGACTCACTTAAGAAGTCACACTGGAGAGAATTCATTTGTATGTGATCAGTGTGGAAAGAGTTTCAAACATAGTGCAAATCTTAATAACCACATGAGAATTCATTCTGGAGAGAAACCTTACATCTGCAAACAATGTGGGAAGAGTTTCACACAAAATGGAGGTCTTAACAATCACATGATGATTCACTCTGAAAAGAAGCCGTTAATATGCCCTCAGTGTGGAAAGAGTTTTACACGGAAACAAAACCTTGATGTCCACATGATCATTCACACTGGAGAGAAGCCTTTCACCTGCAAAATGTGTGGGAAGACTTTCACGTATAAAGGAAACCTTAAGACTCACATAAGAAGTCACACTGGAGAGAATCCATTCACATGCCGTCAGTGTGGAAAGAGATTCAGACATAGTGTAAACCTTAATAATCACATGAAGATTCACTCAAGAGAGAAGAGTTTTAAATGTCATCAGTGCGAAAGGAGTTTCACAGACACAAATCGCCTTCAGGATCATGTTAAAATTCACATTGGAGAAAAGCCTCTCATGTGCCATCACTGTGGAAAGAGTTGCTCAAGAGAAGATGGCCTCAAGGTTCACTTGAGAATTCACACTGGAGAGAAACCTTTCACCTGTGAACAGTGTGGAATGAGTTTCAGGGTTAAAGAATACCTTCAGATTCACAAGAGGATTCACACTGGAGAGAAACCTTACAAGTGTCCTCAGTGTGAGAAGAGATTCACATTTCAAAGCAGCATGAAACGTCATTTGAAAACTCATTCTGGGAAGAAATAGCCGTTTTCTTCAGTGTGGCGAGGTTTAGAAAAAGGAGTAATTTTTACAATCATCTGCACAATCATTTTGGTAGACATTCAATTGTAGTCAGTGTAAGAAAAACTTTTTTTGCCATCACACTTACAGATACATGTGAAAAGTCATGCAAATGTGAGACCGTTTGTGTTCTTTCAGGGCTCTCAAGTTTTATCAAAAGTTTGGAGATTACATCTGTTAGGGGAGGAGCCTAACTTTATGTAAGAATGTATAGGTGACCAAATGACTGTTCTGTTGTTTAGATGTGATTGTATGTTGTTATTTATTTTCTCTTTCTAAAAGAAAAAAAAAAAAGAGCTAATTGTGGAGGATTTACTGCTCAACAGATCCTGAGCTCATTGACAAATATCTTGGAAGATGTGCTCCTTTACACAGAGTACGCGCTCATTCAAAAGCAATTTCAATACCCTGCATATTGATAGTAGCTCCCTGATGCACAAAAATCATATCAGAATGTCAAAATGTTTGCAGGGGCAGGCGGGACTGGACACAAAAATCGCAGGAGCGGGTGGTAATGGTAAGAAATTCAGCGGGAGCAGGATTAAAGGTGGGGTAAGTGATTTCTGGTAGCCAATGTTGACATTTGAAATCACCAAAACAAACACGCCCCTACCCCAAAAGGGTCTCGCCCCTATTTTGATAGCTCCGCCCCACACATACGTACGCAACCCAGGCAACGATTAGTTCTGTGAAACAAAGCAAAACCAATGTTAGTCTCCGGACAAATAAGACAACTACATGTCTATTCCTGTTGTCTTCCTTTCGTCCGACTCTGTGCACAATGTCGATTGCTTCTTCGAGCTGTCGCTGTTCCATGTCAGGGGCGATCTCACTGAACAGTTGTATGACGTCGGCTCTAACGTTCTCGTCCTTTCTTTCCGACAAGCCTTTCAGTTTCAGACACCATCGCATCTTGTATCTCTCCTGGTCCCTGATTCTCTCCTTAAGCTCTTGATTTTCTTTGCACAAACGTTCGTTACACTTTTCCAGCTCGATAACTTTCCCCTTGCATTCCTTAACTTCTTCGGCATTGAACTGCACGGCTTTCGTTAGGCTAGCAATCATGCTGCTACTCTGTTTAGCTTGCTCTCGAAGTTGCGTCAGTTGCTCATTGAAGTTCGTTTCCAAACTCTGAATGGCTTCCAGTATGGTCAGGTTAGAGACCTCATTTTCCTTTAATGTAGTTTTGCTCTTTTTCCCAGCTGGAATCTTACTCGGAGTTGTCGGCGTGGAGTCTTTTCTTTTAGTGATTGTGCTAACCTCCATATCGTAGTCATGGTCAGCAGATTGTTCGAAAATCTTAGTGCTCATCGCAGCTTGCTTCTTTTCACTGGCCCCCTCTTTAATTGTCAGTCTGGCCGGTTTGATCATACTTTTTTAATTGTTTGGAGCGTCTTTATAAGCAGAAAATCAAGATTTGGGACAATTTTGCTTCCGTCTCTGACGCGAGTGACTGATCAACACGCCATCTTGCCCGGAACTCAGTCAGAGGAACTGAGTGTATAAGCTGGGCTGTAGAGACATCTGAGATTTACACAGGAGCAAGACTGTAACACCCTTTGAATGTGACGAGCAGTATCTTACACTGAATATGATGGATGACAGGCAGCCAGTGTTGTAGGGGAATACTAGAGAATCTTAGTGCAGAGTGATAGTGTTCAAAAGGGGCGAGACGTTGCCCGAATCAACAGGGTGTCACTTGAGATGCGCTAAAAACAATCAATCAAAATTTATTTATAAAGCACAATAAAAACAACAGTAGTTGACCACTGTTCTGTACAAATCTTGCTAAAAAGACGGAGAAATAAATATAAACAAGTTTTGACTGCAATGCACTAAAGAGAAGAAAATCAACAAACACTGATAGGTGACGGATCCTTATACTCTGTTAGTTGTCTGTTGGACAGTTATAAGCCTTGGAAAAAAGATAAGTTTTTAAAGGTGCTGCATGTACGTTTCTGACTCTACTAAAGCATAAAAATATCATATGTTTGCAGATATTTAAGAAACATGCTAAGTTAACATACTTGTTTATCTGAAAAAACATGCTACAATCAGTTATTCTCCTTTGAAAATGTGCGTTCCGGGACGGAATGTCTGTCTTTGTTTTGATCTGTGTAACCACCCACTGCCAGTTTACACAATTGTATTTCGGCACCCCGGGTTGCCAGTTGGCGGAACACACAGCGTATTTCATTTCATTCATCGTCATGTGTGCTCGTTCCTGTTGGTGTCGTCAATCTGGCAACCTGTGTGGAGGAGGGGCGGGGTGAAAAAAACCCCTCTCCAATATTTTGAATTTGGACTGCAATACCTAGTTCAACCACTCGGTGTCAATCCTACATACAGCACCTTTAACTTGGATTTAAATTCAGAGTCTGAAGAAACTAATCGGAGGGAGACTGGAAGACTATTCCATAGTTTAGGCCCAGCAATTGAAAAGGCACGGTCACCCCTCAACTTCAATCTAGATCTCGGGACCATCAACACTCTTTGCTCAGAAGACCTCAGCGATCTAACAGATGTATTTGGGTTTAAAAGATCAGATATTCAGGAGCCGTTTCACTCAGAGCTTTAAAAACAAACAGTAAAATTGTAAACTCGATTCTGTAACAGACGGCAACTAGTGCAAAGAGCATAATACGGGGGAGATATGATCAAATTTGCGGGTGCCAGTCAAAAGTCTGGCAGCTGCATTTTGAACCATCTGAAGTCGATTTATATATGATTGATTTATTCCCATATAAAGGGTATTACAATAATCAAGCTGTGATGACACAAATGCATGGATCACTCTCTCGAACTCTTGAAACGATAAAAAAATCTTGGCTTTTGATAGCAATCTTAATTGGAAGCAACTGGATTTGACTACAGAATTGATCTGTTTATCAAACTTGAGTGCAGAATCGAAAGTAACACCCAAATTTTTCAGACAGTTTTCTGTAGGAGTCCAGGTCTCCCAAATCACAATCGGGGGTTCCCGAAGACCCAAACACAATGACCTCCGTTTTGCCCTCATTAAGATGTAAAAAGTTTGAAGAAAACCAAGACTTAATATCAGACAAACACGTATTCAGTGATCCTAAGCCTCTTTTATCATTTTTCTTCAAGGGCAGGTAGATTTGGGTGTCATCAGCATAAAAATGAAATGACACCCCATGCTTGGTAAGGATGGACCCCAGAGGAAGCATATATAATGAGAACAGAACAGGGGCCAAAATGGAGCCCTGAGGAACTCCAAAATGCAAGATAGAGCTAGATGAAGAAAAACCATCAAGACAAACAGAAAACATTCTGTCTTCAAGATAGGATTTAAACCAGTCGAGAGCACAACCTGTAATGCCCACACGTTGTTCAAGGCGTGATATAAGGATTCTATGATCAATAGTGTCAAACGCAGCACTTAAATCTAATAGTAAAAGTATCACAGAGTCCCCCAAATCTACAGATAATAAAATATCATTCAACACTTTTAAAAGTGCAGTCTCAGTGCTATGATGTTTCCTAAACCCAGATTGAAATTTTTCAAAAATACTATTTGTGAAAGTGACGTGACATGTGGCCAAGTATGGTGACCCATACTTGGAATTAGTGCTCTGCATTTATCCCATCCAAAGTGCACACACACAGCAGTGAACACACACCCGGAGCAGTGGGCAGCCATTTTTTTGCTGCGGCGCCTGGGGAGCAGTTGGGGGTTCGGTGCCTTGCTCAAGGGCACCTCAGTCGTGGTATTGAAGGTGGGAGAGAGCGCTGTACATTCACTCCCCCCACCTACAATCCCTGCCGGTACGAGACTCGAACCCGCAACCTTTGGGTTACGAGTCCAACTCTCTAACCATTAGGCCACGATTCCCCTTCACGACTTATTTGACTCTAAAAAAAAAACAAAACTCTGCAGTTGTACTAAAACAGCATTTTCTAAGGTTTATGAAAGAAAAGATAAATTTGAAATGGGTCTATAATTTGATTTTTTTAAGCAAGGGTTTAACAATTGCATGCTTTAGGTATTTTGGGACAGTCGCTGTAAGAAGAGACTTGTTTGTTATAGCTAAAATACTTGGCCCAACAACATCGAAGACAACAACAGAAGCAAGAACCGTGTGGGAATGATGTCTTGCGGACATGTAGTAGGTTTTAGCTGCTTAATAATATCTTGAAAGGAGTTTAAAGAGATTGTCTGGAATTCATTAAAGGTAGAAGTACAAAGAGAGGGGACAGACCACTCACAATTTGGAGGTATAATATGCTGTCTTATGTCAACTATTTTATCTGTAAAAAAACTTAGGAACGCTGTCACATACTGCAGGTGATGCGTTAAAATAAACAGTACTAGTTGGATTTATAACAGAATCTAAAATAGTAAAAAGGGTTTGGGGTTTATGACAGTTTTTAGCTATAATATCTGAAAAATATTGACATTTTGCAGCTTTAACAGATTTTTGATACCTGATTAATGACTCATAGTATTTCAAAGGACACTTGTAATTTAGGACAGTTTTTAGCTATAATATCTGAAAAATATTGACATTTTGCAGCTTTAACAGATTTTTGATACCTGATTAATGACTCTCATAGTATTTCAAAGGACACTTGTAATTTACCTTTTTTTCTAAAAGAGGTTCACAAGTTCACCTGCCCAAGTTTGATCAGGTTTAGTTTAGCTATGGGCAGCTCTATTGAAGACAGTAATAGTAAATGATGGCAAATTCTATTGGAGAGAAAGATTACTGCTGTAATGACTGACAGGTTAGAAATGACTGCTGTGGCAGAGAATTAATGAGTGATTTGTCAGGGAAATCACTGCTGTGGCAGTAAGAATTAGTTGGAGGGCTGTTTGGGAATGATTGATGGGAATGGAGAATGGTGGAAAACGCCGCTGCTGCAGCAGTGACATATTGACGATTTGCTTGTTGACAGGTCCAAGATGTACAGTTGCCTGAAGGAAATCCCATGTTGTGTGGAAGGCTCACAGTACTCAGCTGAGGTGGTATGAGCTGCGGGACAGGTGGATTCCTGATTCCACGTGGAGCCAATGACCTAAATTTCTGAAAGAGACAGCAGTTTGAATTTTAAATCCTGCTGTAAGTTGTGCTTTAATTATAATGCAAGTGGAAGACCAGATTAACCAACCGAGGAACCGCATTAGTTGCTTCAGCAAATGTAAAACAGCAAATTGCTTCAACAAATGCAGAACTTTATCTGCATTTGTTGAAGCAATAGACTACAGTGGAGTTGTCCTGATGGAAGAAAATGCTTTGGAGGCCCATTTTATAAACCACAGGATGGTGGACACGACGAGCGGAGGGAGAAATCTCTGCTGCGGCAGTTAAGTAACACAGTTTAATCATAAAGGCTGCTGTAGAATGTGTAATGATGTAATGTACTGAGCTAATGTAACAGGTGAGATAAGTACTGATGATACAGGCCGTTTAAAGTATCCTTCTTCACAATCTAAAATTTGTAGCATCCCAGCACGTGGCTGACTTGTAGCACGAATGCAGTTACGCCATTTGTGAGTTAAATTAGCACATT